CATGTGCTGTACCAATGTACCTGCACATGTGATGTGACAATAAAAGTGATTTGATTTGATTTGATTTAAAATATACTATTATTTTATATGATATTCAACATTTTATGTAAACATGATATACAGTAATGAACACATAACACATTATTATTATTTCTAAATATTATAGCACATATAGTGAGCAGGTCAATAGTTGTTGTTTATTTGCTAAAAGAAAGTCTACTGTAATAGTCTAAGTAGAGGCATATGATTCACCATTTTGTGACTGTATTGCTAACATTATTTCTTTTACAAAGCTGTTTTATTGCATTTTTCACTTCTTCTGTCTTTAAAGCATATACAATAGGATTGAGCAAAGGTGGTATGGTGTGTGTCAATGTGTAATTTATCATTCTAGCATTAGGATCAATGTAGAAGGCCATTGCAACTATGTTAGTGATTCCAACTGCCAAGAAGAACATGACCACAAGGATCAGGTGAGAAGTACAAGTTTCTAACGCTCTGACTCGTTCCTCTCTTGAAGTAGTCCTCCTCGGTGCTATGAAAATACAGATATATGTGACTACTATGAATGCTAGGGGAATGATGAGAATTATAATGACTAGGGAAAATGCTAACTTGAAATTTAAAGATGTATCATTACAAGCTAGATGATAAATTGGTCCATGATCACAATAAAAGCTGTTTATTACTAAAGATCTACAGAATGAAAGACGATTAACAAGCCCAACCATGGTTGCAATTACACTCACCAAAAAAATCCATACAAACAGCAGAATAGCAGCAATTGATGTTTCAGTAACAATACTATGATACCTTAAAGGGAGACAAATTGACTTTTATTATATCAAGATAGCACAAGAGTGTGATGATCAAAATGGTGACCACTTCCGGGACAAAAACAACTGTATTATGATGCTAAAACAACTTCTACTCTATTCAAGAATCTGCACAGACAGCAACTTAATGCAAAGCTAGCTAAGAAATCAGAATGTTGACCCCAGCACATCATTCAGTCCAACACCGTCAACAGGTAACAAAGACAGTGATGAGCAGCTCGGGTTGTAGCATTCTACCCTTTATTTCTCAATTTCTCCTTAAAGAGGAGAGGTTAGAAGCCATGGCACAGGGAAGAGAGGCCACAAGTGCTACTTATGCAAAATAATTTATCGCACAGTTTTTTTTCATCATATGCACAGTACAGCCCTGTGTATGCTGCTCTAACACTGTCCACAAACGTAACAGGGCTGGCTGCTTTAAACTTAATTTGTGATTCAAAATCAACCAAGAAGTAGAAATAGATAAAGGAATATTTTGGATTGGCATAATTACATAATTATACATCAATATATGGGCATCTTTATATTAATATAACTAGATATATTATCTATAGATAGTGTATATATATATGTGCATATACAAGAACAAATACATTTGATGAAATATGATAAGCACTTGCTTCCTCTTACTTCTTTTCAAATAGGAAATGGTTCATATTTTCTTAGTGGGATTTATTGCCTGAGGTCTGAATGATAAGTTTTGTTCATTGTGTTTATATGATGGCTTTCTTTCAGATTTTACATATGTCATATAGAAGAACCCATAGTCACATATTCATATGTTTAGGGACATTATTGCTAAATAAATTATTTTTTTACTTCCTGATCGAATAAAGGTGAATACACAGTTCCAACCATCCTCCTGGTTTTTATATTTAAATATATAACTTGAAAAAAAAACAGGTACATAAATTCAACTTTCATTCATTCATTGCTTTTTTAAAACTTTTTTCAAGGGTTGTGGGTGTTAAAATTATTTTCCATACAATATACAGTATTCAAAACATTTTATGTAAACATGATATACAGTGAAGAACATAACATAATACACTATTTCTAAATGTAATATTATAGCACAAATAGCTAGAACTTGTTTTTGTTTTTTTTTAAGTATAGTGTAATAGTCCCAAATGGGTCAATATAATAGAAACATTTGGTTCACCATTTTGTGACTGGACTGCTAATATTATTTATTTTCCAAAGCTTCTTGACTGCACTCATTACTTCTTCTGTCTTCAAAGCATATACAATAGGATTGATCAAAGCTGGTATGGTGTGTGTCAAAGTTGAGTTTATAATTCTGGCATTAGGATGAATGTAGGAGGTCCATACAGCAATGTTTGTACCTACAAATGGTAGGAACAAAATAGCAACAAGGATCAGATGAGAAGTACAAGTTTTCAGTGCTTTAAGTCGTTCCTCTCCTGATGCAATTTTGCTCAGCGCTATGGAAATGCAAACATAAGTGCAGGCTATGAATATTAGCGGAATAAAGACTCCTATACTTACAACAACATTTGCCATAATGATATTTAAAGATGGATCATTACATGCCAGACGATATATTGGTCCATGATCACAGAAAAAGCTTTTCACTACAACAGAGTCACAGAAGGAAAGACGATTAACAAGCCCAACAACTAATGTTGTTAGACTCAACATAACAAGCCATATAAACAGCAACATTGATGTAATAGATGTTTTAGTCACAATGCTATGATACCTTAAAGGGAAACAAATGGCTATAAGTCTGTCATATGCCATAGTGACAAGCGTCCATGACTGCACACCTCCAAAAAAAAAAACAAAGAACATATAACTTAAACACGCCTCATAAACAATGTATCTCCTGTCAAAAAGAAATGTGTCTAATAGTTTTGGGATGAGAGTTGTGCTCCCACACAAATCTGCCAAAGCCATGTTGAACACAATCATGTATTTAGGAGTATGAAGAGTCTTCACCAGCCAAATAAGTGAGAGAAGAAAGCCATTCCCCAAAACAGTCATGATGTAGACAAAACACAGGAAAACATAGAAATACTTAACATGAGGGATGTTGGAAAATCCACTGAGATAAAATATTGCAGGGCGAACAAATGTGGAATTAGACTTAGTAGTGGCTTTTTCTTCTGAGTCCATTACAAATAGGTTTCCTTAGTCATAAAAATCACAGATAAAAGCATATAACACAAAGTGAAGCATCTGATCCAAAGTTGCTGTAATAAAATTTTGCCCAAACTACATAAGCAGTGCACTACAGTGAGGCATCTCATGACCAACCTGGTATTTGTATTTTACCTCTAAGACTGTGATGCAGCAGAAGCAAGTAACTTTGTCACATGGCCATCTTATTTTCTACTCACTGGGTGGCAAAAAAAAAAAAAAAAGTAAAATTCCAGCAGCTCAGGTTTCAGTGTAATATAATAAAATTATATAAATTTAACATCACATAAAAATACTTAGCTTTTCAGGAGGTAACATTGGGAAGATTATTTTAGATCAGCATGCTAAATTAAAATACTGATGCTTTAGCTTTAAATCACATTAAATCGTAAATTTAACATCTGTACTAACAGATTTTTCATGTTATTTTGCATTAAATATGTTAATGCGCTCTCTTTAATTTTTGCATTTATACTGATATTTCATGCATCCAAGGAATAGCGCCAAGAAACTAGAATCTAAGTCATGAAAAAGGAAGGCAAGGTAAGGCATACTTGAAGATGTTCAAGTTAAACAGGTTAAAACCTTCATCTTTCATTTAGTAGTCTGTTTTCTTTACATAATAAATTCAATTACCATTGTTCTTTGAAAAATATAGTTAATTAATATGCATATTTTATACCTGGCTCTATAGTTTCAATCAAAGCTTTGACACAGTTTTCATTGAAAAAAAAATGTAATCAATCGCAAAATAAAATGTGTCGCTATGAATCTAACTGTAAGAAACATCCTTAGCAACATAAGCGTATGTGCCCCAGTAAAAGTAGACTAGTGCCAACAAATTCATTTAAATTATTTGTTAGGATCCCTGGGTTTTTAGACCCAGGGTTTTGTATTTACAGTTCTTTTGGGTTTTGTGATTCCTTGTTTATTGAGAATCTCTTATGCTGTTTGACTCTTCTCGTGTATAAATAATATACTATAGTTTCCTTTATAATTTATTTTATCCTTTGCAGTCTCTGTTTATATTCTGCTTCTTCTTTCCTGTTTTATTGTGAAAGTCTTTTGTCTTGTGTGTCTTGTGTAGAGTTTACTTCCCTTGTCTTGTTATTCCTCAATATTCCCGATTTGCTTCGGGTGTGTTTCCTATGTGTCTCCAGTGCTTTGAGTCATTCCCTTCCCGACGCAATTCTGCTCAGTGCTATGGAAATGCAAACATAAGTAAACGCTATTAATATTAAAGGAATACAGATTAAACTAACTAAGGGAACATATGCCATTATGCTTTTTAAAGATGTATCATTGCATGCCAGATAAAACACAGGTCCATGATCACAGAAAAAGCTTTTCTGTCACGTCCGTTGTGGCAGACGTGTGGAGTTAGTAGAAAGGACCCAAAATGCAGCAGCTCTGATGCAGGTGAGCATTTATTAACAGGAGTGGATACAAACAGCAATGGCGGGGGAACATGAAACTGGAACCTAAACTGGGCAGAGCTAAAGAAAAACAAGAGCACTAGAAGGCCATAAAACAAAACACGAGTCCAAAACCAAAAGAAGACAAAAAAAGAAACACACCGTGCGGACAGCAACGGCGGCGGCGGCGACGGCACTGTTCCGGAGGCTGGCCGTGCGGAAGGCAACTGCGGCGACTCAGGCGAAGGGGGTCTGGGGGCCGCCCACGACCAGTAGCCTGGAAGGTGGCCGATTAACCGCAGACCCAGACGAGGCAGGACCAGACGACGCTGAAGGCAAAGACACGGAGGCAGGACCAGGCGACGCTGAAGGCGAAGACACGGAGGCAGGACCAGGTGACGCTGAAGCTGGACCAGGCGAAGTCGAAGCTAAAGCTGGGCCAGGCGAAGGCATGGACGAAGCCGCTGCTGCAGGCGAGGCTGAAAGCACTGAGGCTAGA